ATACAAGATGCCTGTCCAGTACAGTATACAGTCAGTCATTTATGACGGGGTTAGACCAACGCACTGTCATAGTTGAATTAACGTAAGTCGAAAATGCGAAAATAATACAGTCAACCTCACATGTCCTCAGATTCCGCGTCGGAACGCATTACGCTGAGTCCGGGCGCGATGGATTGCCCCACGCCACCCACCCGGTCCGCCTGCCTGCTCCGCTTGGGCAAGCGGCGCGGTAAGGTTGTGCAGTGTGTGTCTTTGTTGCGTTATCACTGACGTCATATGACGTATCAGACCTGTGATTGGCCATGCATCCCTACCCCCCTCTGCTGCTAGCTGTAATTGGCTTAAAGTATTATGACGTGTCCACCCGGGGGAGGGAGGGAGGGAGGAGAGACGACGCTTGACCTAGCCGCGGCAGTTTCATCCCTCAAGGCCACTCCGTGTAAACGCGCATCCATTGTTCCGTAAAATGGCTTCCGCCGGACCACCACCCCCAGAGAGAAACCTTTCCTTACCTGGACCCAGCGGCACTAAACCAAAGAAGACACGACGTTCCTTAAGCTACGAGGTGAAGTATAGCATCATCCAAGAGTTGGAGAAAGGAACAAGGCAGGTTGATTTGGCGCGCCAGCATGGCGTGAACGAATCTACGATCCGGACTATAAAGAAGGATTCAGCCAAGATAAAGGAGCACATGAAGATCACAAAGTCTACAGGTGCTTCTATGATCAAGTATTTTCACAACCAGGTGCTTCTCAAGACAGAAAAATTACTTGTGAGGTACTTGGTGCGTCAGGCGCGACGGAACATGGCGGTCGACACGCGCTCTGTGAAGGACTACGCACGTGAACTGTACATGGCAGTGGCACGAAAGATGGGAACTTCAGAGCCCAAACCCTTTACTGCTTCCTCTGGGTGGTTACAGAGGTTTAAGATCCGGAACAAGATCACCAATATAAACATTGGTGGTGAAGAAGCGAGTGCTGATCGTGCTGCGGCTCGGGAATTTCCTCCGTTTTTACGTGAGATTATGGAGGAAGGACAGTACAGTGACGACCAGGTGTTTAACATGGACGAATCTGGTCTTTTCTGGAAAAAACTACCTTCCAAGTCCTTCGTTGTGAAGAATTCCAGCAGGATTCGGGGCCGGAAAATGCAGAAGGAACGCATCACCGTCCTGTTTACCACCAATGCCTCCGGTACCTGTAAGCTCAAGTTATCGGTGATCCACACAGCCCGCAAGCCGCACGCCTACAAGAGCATGGACATGACCAAGCTAAATGTCCACTGGCTGACAGCACGTAAGGCATGGATGTTCTCTACACTGTCCCTCTCCTGGTTTGATGACTGTTTTGTTCCCGATGTAAAGAAATTCTGTGAGCGACAGAATGTCCCATTTAATATTTTGTTGCTGCTGGACAACGCACCAGGACACTCGCCCCTACTGTTAGATCGTCACCCCAACGTAAAAGTGGTCTTCCTTCCTCCCAACACTACGTCTTTAATCCAACCCATGGACCAGGAGTTGATTTGCAATGTGGAAGCTGCATTCTCAACAAAAAAATTCCAGCTCCTGAACGACTACACCAACACCAGGGAAGAGTTGCGTAACCTGAGTGACACCACCACCGATAGCAAGATCGAAGAAGATGAGGATCAACAGTTTGAACAGCAAGAAATACTCTTCAAACAATTCTGGAGAGTATTTAACATCAAGAAAGCTGTGGACTTCTTGGTGGAGTCATGGGATCAGCTGTCTATTGCTACAATTCGTCACGCATGGAGACATGTGTTGCATGGAATACCAGGTGAGAGGAGGAGTCAATCTGTGACTGGTGAGGTTCAGAATGTTGCAGTAGCAGTGGACCTTGCCAGAGAAGCTGCGCAGACTGTTACAGTTCCAGGCTTCTCCGAGACCACCAACGACGACATCCTGGAGGTGATCAGAAATCCTGAAGTGACTGCCGACGAGATGTTGGAAGAAGAACACGTCAGTGAAGAGGAGGAAGAAGGTGCGGCAGTCTCCGAAGAACACAATTTAAGTCATAGTGATATTAAGGGTGCCATGGAGTGTGCAGAGAAGATGAAGTCCTTCCTTTCCCGCGACAATGACGATGACCGCTATGAAGTCTTCCATAACCGGCTGGTGCAGGCTATGGAGCCGTACATCAAGGTGTATCACGACAACATCAACGCCAGCCGTCAGCAAAGCATAACAGATTTCTTCACCCGCAACCCACCACAGCCAGCCCAAGCCAGTGATAGTGACAGTGAAGTTGACTTTGAGGGATTTGTCAGGGAAGCCCTGACAACTGTAAGTGACAGTGATGATGATTCACCTAGTAATGGTGATTCACCTGAGGGCCAGTAATCTGCCCTCTGCCTCGGAACCAGCCTCCATCCCCGTATGCCGACCCATCTCTTCTACTACCGTAAGTGTTCCACATAATTTTTAGTTTTCTAACCTTACCTTTATTTTTCCTATGTTAACCTTTATCTTTCCTAACCTAACCTCTTCTATATTACTTGTTTTTTCATACCATCATAAAGTTAAGATAAAATTTTTACTGCAACATAGTTATGTGTCGTCAAAAAGTGGAGTTTGGGGATCGGCCTGGACTCCATTTCAATTAATCCCATATGTTATGTTGTTCACTTTACGCGTTCCTCACTTTCCGCGGTACCCTCCGGGTTACATTAACCGCGTAATGTGAGACCCAACTGTACATAGAAAATCTAAAATGAAATACGGTACAGTAAAAGTAATCAATAATGAGAAATGAATAAAGTTTTACTGTGCACTTACCTTTAATGTAGTCAGCTGAATGCACACGGGGCCTCAATAATTTTTAATTAAACATGGAGCCTATATTAATTGGATGAAGCAGAGGAGGAAACAGGGCTGGGTGGGTCATCAATTTTGCTTTCTTCAGATAGGCTAACATACTTGCTTGTTGAAGGTATTGGATCATCTTTAGGGAGTGAAGAGGCAGCAGTGATGGGGCGTGAGGAGACAGCAATGGGGGAGTTCTTGAAATATACGTCCAATTTAGACTGCACAGTTTGCCTTTTCTTTTCATTGTAAATCTCTCTGTAGCAAGCAAGTGTATCTGGGATCATTCTGTCAACTTTTGCCAAACACTCAACATTTTGATCCATTTCGTCAAACATTTGTATCCCCTTATTAATAGTTGTAAATGCCTCTGCCATTTGTTTCACTGAAAACTTTTTGGGGGGTGCAGGTTCTTCTTCTACATTTTGTCTCTCTTCTTCCTCTGCAATTTTTTGTGCATCCAGTTCAATAAGATCCTCGTTACTTAGCTCTTCTGCTACACTTTCCACCAACTGCTCAACATCTTCATTAAATCCTTTGAAACTGTTCACATATCTTTTCAGGACCTTCTTCCATATTCCATTCATGCACTGACCTGTAACCTCATCCCATGCTGCAGCTATGTTCTTTAAACATTTCAAAATGTTGTAGTTCTTCCAAAACTCTCTGAGCGTTTTCTCACCTTCAGTAGCAGCAACAGCCTGAGCAAAGGTCGTACGTAAATAATACGCTTTAAAAGCAGCAATAGCACCTTGATCCATGGCTTGGATGATAGAGGTAGTGTTAGGTGGAATGTAGACTACCTTAACATCAGGGTGCAGGTTGTCCAGGTGTGGTGGGTGTCCCGGAGCATTATCTAAAATTAATAAAATCTGGAACGCAACCCCTTGTTGCATACAATACTCCTTGGCTCGTGGAATGAAACAACTCGGGAACCAATCCCCAAACAGTGCTAGGGTCATCCATGCTTTCTTATTACTGTGGTAAAACACTGGCAGTGTGTGCTTGCTGACATTTTTAAAAGCCCTTGGGTTCTCTGAATGATATATCATGAAGGGTTTTACCTTGAAACCAGCTACATTCCCCCCCAACAGAAGTGTGATTCTGTCCTGGAATGCCTTGAATCCCAGGATAGCTTTCTCCTCTTTGTGGATGTATGTCCGTTCTGGCATGCGCTTCCAGAATAAGGCAGTTTCATCCACATTAAATATTTGCTCAGGCAAATAATTTCCCTCCACGATGACACGATCTAGCTCCTCCTTAAAAACTTTAGCAGCACCCACATCAGCACTTGTTGCCTCTCCACTCACCTTTACACTGTGCAAACTGTAACGTTTCTTAAACCTTTGGAACCACCCATGACTTGCTGTGAAGTTTTGGTCACACTCATCTCCTGCCTGCTCTTTCAGGCTTTCGAAAAGGCTTCTTACCTTAGCCTGTATGGTTAGAAGGCTTAAGGGTAAACGCTTTTGTTTCTGATCTTCCACCCACACCACAAGTAATTTTTATATCATGAATAGGACCATGTCTTTTTTTTCGTTATTATTGTTTCCTTTATAGGTGCTGATCCTTTCACTGCCTAATGAATTCATTCCTTGTCCTTCAAAACTGTTGATATCGTCGAGTGAGAGAAGTCAAGGTCGTTTGAAATGGTTGCTACCGTTTTTCCATTTTCATATTGCATTATTATTTTCATTTTCATCTCAAAAGTAATTGACTGTCTCTTTTTTTTCTCAGCACCACGAGAACTCTCACTTTTAAGCTTGCCAGCCATTTTAAAGGGAATTAGAAACGAAAATATTGTCAGTACACAGCGCGATCACTAACAACAACAACGACGGCCAAACACCAACTGAGCGCGCTACGGCGTGGACGCTGTACACCACGAGGCGGCACACTTCGTACAGGACGGAAACGTTTCTGTGTAAAAAAATATGTTCGGAATTTGAAATTTTTTTGTACGACTGGGGCGGTCGTACGTCCGGGTACCCATCCAGTGGTACAGTACAGTACAGTATACCAAACTGTATCTCGGATTCACAGTTACTTGTACATACTGTATGTCTCTGGTATGAGATTTACTATATATTGTTTATTGTATGAGGGTGAGTGTATTCTTTAATGAATACTGTATATTTTATGAATTAATTGTTGCATATTTTCTTTTTAGTGTGTTTACATGCGCAAGTTGCTGAGTTTGGTGAAGAGGAGGATGGAGGAAGGGGCGGTGGACATCACTCTCAAGTTCACTCTCTCTGCTTTATGGAACCTAACTGGTTTGTTCACTTTTTCTCTTAGTTTACTCATCACTGTTTTTTAGTCAGTGAAATTTCTCTACAGTCACCCCTTGGATATCGCGATTTTCGTTATCACGCCTCCATCAAAATCTGCACACCTGCTGTTAAAGCGCATTTTTCAGGCCGAGAATTTGGTTATCACGCAGTTGCCTCCAGGTTTATTGTTACCCCCTTGCTTCACTTACATCTGTTGAGGATAAAATCTTTCACCTACAAATTGACAATAACACATTTGCTCTAATCAGACATATCTAAGTTGCCTTAACAATTGCAACCCAAGTTTCAATTTCAAATTCTCTGTCATTACTAAGGAATAACGAAGTCTCCGGTGCACTCTAAGATTGAGAGAAAACATAGGACTCAGGCGTCCTGAAGCGATGAGAAAACGGACTCCTCAGACGGGGGGCTCAAATAAAGAAAGCATAGCTACATGTTTTGTGGACTACAGTATTGAGCGTACCCTTTTCATCATTTTGTAATAAACCTAGCAATGCCTATGTGTATTTCTGATACTTACCAGAACATTATCTATATCTTTAGTGAGTCTAAATGGTCATAAAATGGGAAAATTGGGGTTGGGTCTTGGGTGCCTGGAACCAATTAGAATAAATCCCATAAGTTCTGTACTTTCGTTATCGCGTTTTTCGTTATCATGCACTCGGCTCGGTCCCAATTAGGCGCGATAACCAAGGGATGACTATACTCTACTCTAGTGTACAATATTTTTTAAGTAATAAATTTGGAGCAAGACAATAATATAATGATGTTTATTGATTCAAATGGTGTTGTGTTGTTCCTTATGATTGACTTAACATGGATCTTAGGATTATGAAAATATTTTGAACATGTTGAAGTAAACTGGAGAGTGGTGTAGCAGCCAAGTGGATGCAGCATTCACCTGCCAGCTGGAGGGTTGCTATTTCTCATCGAGGGCACCCCTGGTTCACCCACCCACCCATCCGGTTTGGGAAGTAAGGGTTTCAAATACAATGCCAGCCACTGTGCTTATTTGTGTACCAAAATCTTAGTAGTGATATCTCTATTAGTCGTAACAATTGGTGCAGAGCACTTCCGGGATTGAGAGATTTTCGGGTAACAAGACGACTCTCTCAATGCCGGAAAACATCCCTCATTCCCGGAATTTTTCCGGGTAATGGAAAATTTTTCTCGAAGTTCCAGAAATTGCGCTTTACATTATCTCTCAAACCCTGAAAAATATCCCCCATCCCCAAAATTTTCCGGGTTCCTGAAAAATGTTCTCAGAATTTACGGAAAATGTGCCCCTCGGAAAATCGTTCCCAAAGCCAGAATTTTCAGGAAAATTCCAGCTTTGGGAACGATTTTCCGAGAACATTTTTATTCTGGCTATCAGAGAGTTCCGGCTTCAAGGGATTCCGGCTAACAGAGATATTGCTGTATATGTTGCCCAGCATCAACACTGTCCCAAACAGCCAGTCAGGCTTATTGGGCCAAATTATACTTTTTTCGAAGAGACCTTTCTTAACTCTTTAAATACATTTTACAGTAATGTTCTGTTTCCTAAATATAGTCAGTTTTACTGACCATAAATTGAGATTTGAATTCAGATAAACTTACTGAACCTGTTTCTCACTGGAACATTTTTTCTTTGTTCCCCCCTGACCACAGGAAGTAATATTCTCGTTAGCCAGAATCTCTCTAACCCGGAAATCTCCAGTAGCCGGAATTGAAACAATTACCGGGAAATCTGAGAAAATTGCGAGAAAATCACTCCAAACTTTTCTGGTCAAGGCCTGGGGACAAGGGTTCCCTGTGTTATGAAAGACTGCACCATGTTTAGCCACAACCTCACATGGTTGGTGTGTGGGTGGGAAGACCAACCTCTTGGGTAATGCTGGATTTTTCTATTTATAGTATATTTATTATTTCTGTACAAACATAAATATTTCTTTAAATGTACATACAATAATAAGAAAGTAAAATAATACAGTAATAAACCAATGTAATTCAGAGCTGAGCTAACAAGGCAAAGGGTGAGGTGATGAGTCAGGTGGTGAGGTGATGAGGCAGGTGGTGAGGTGATGAGGCAGTAGGTGAGGTGACAAGGCAGTAGGTGAGGTGACATGCCAAGACACTTACACAACACACACATTAACAGCGCTACTAAACCATTATCTTAAATATTTTACATTATAATTTCTATTTTAAAATTAATTGGTACATGAAGGCTTGATTTGGCTACTTTTGTCCTAAGACAACTGATCAGTGAATAAACCAGGGCATATGGAGACTCATTATACACTAGTGATGTCACGAAGCTTCGAAACTGCAACCACAACTACGGAGCAACCGCATATATTATCACAACCAAAACAACCACACGACCCACTTGGTTGCCGCGCTTGTGAAACAATCACAAATCAGAGCTGAGAAATTCATTGAGCAATATACCCCTCCAACCACTGTGCTGCCTTTATGCTACAATAATACAGTACAGTGAACAATGTTTTTAGATCTTTACAATGATAAATCTTGAACAACTTGCTTAATTACAGATGACCATTTGTGGAAGGTATCAGCTTTGGTCCCATACTGAGGGTTGTTCTGCCAGTCAGTTAAAGCAGCACGTATACAGTCATGCGCCAGTTAACGTCCGATCGCATATACGTCCGTGCCCCCCCCCCCCAAAAAAAGTCCGTGACGCCTGCTGGACCACCACTCCACTACCCCTTCATGGAGACACGATGATCCTCCCCATACTGGTCAGATATTATGTGTTAAAGGAATATGCTTCCTTCCTTAGGCTCTTTTTAAGCATTTGCCTCCAGGTGTAATGTTAACCTACATCTATTGAGGATAAAATCTTTCACCTATAAATTGACAATAACACATTTGCTGTAATCAGACATATCTAGTTGCCTCGACAATTGCAACCCCAGTTGCAATTGGGGTTGCAATTTCAAATTCTGTGGCATTACTGAGAATAACAAAGTCTCTAGTGCACTCCAAGATTAAGAGAGAAAACGGAGGTCTCAAGCATCCTGATGTGAGAGAAAACGGACTCGTATGATGGGGGACCAAATAAAAAAGCATAGCTACATGTTTTGTGGACTACAGTATTAAGCATACCCTTTTCATCACTTTGTAATAAACCTAGCCATGCCTATGTGTGTTTATGATATTTACCATAACATTATATATATATTTAGTGGGTCTAAATGGTCGTAAAATGGGAAACTTGGGGTTGGGTCTTGGGTGCCTGGAACCAATTAGAATAAATCCCATAGGTTCTGTACTTTCATTATTAGGCGCGATAACCAAGGGATGACTGTACTGTACTGTATATACTTGTGACACTGGCCAGTTGCTTCTGGTGTTATGGTACAGGGGTAGAAAGTGACAGCACTTGGATCCCGCTTCCTCTATCAAGGAATAAACAATTAAAATTTAAATTGAAAAAAAAAACATTCAAATAATGGGACGTAGCGAACCTAAATGGCCCTAGAGCGGGCACAGTCACGTATGCATCGCGTATTCTTATAGATTGTGCTGCCAGACGTACGTTATCTAGTGAATTTAGTCAATATTGTACAGTAACAATGGACCTAAGTGCAAACCTGTATTGTACATGTACTAAATGATTACGGTACTAAAATTGTTATGTCTATTGCAAATATAGCTTGTTTATACAGGTATTCAAATAAATTACTATCTTACAAGAATCCCTCCAATGTAAGTTATATTCACCCAGGTCGTTTGGGTGGCAAATTATTAGAAGAGCTTAGTCACTCTTAAGTAATGATAAATAAACATCCAGGCCTTCAGCGCCAACTGACAAATCTTATCTCAAATAAATAAAGACACTGTCACCTCACCTCACGCTCGGCTGGCTACCTCCCTCCCTGTGTTCCCAGACAAAAGATTGGTTATTTCTTTATGTTTTTTATATAATATCTCAGACTAAAGTTAGGATAATATAATTTGCATTGCTGAAATCCTTGCAAGACAGAGATTAATTTGAATATAAGCGTCATATATTTTGCTCAAGATGTAAAAAATGTAGTACATTAGTGTACAATACTGTAGTACATTTTATAAAAAGTTTTTGAACTGTATTTTTGGGTAGATTTACATAAATTTCTTCATTTATTTTCATCCATTTACATGCACACACCATACTAAAAGAGACGTAAAAGAAATAAATGACCTTAGTGCAAAGCTGGAGTGCACATGTACTAATTTGATTACGATACTAAAATTGTTATGTCTAGTGCGAATTAGAACATGTTTATATTCAAATAAATCAGTATCTTACAAGAATCCCAGCAATGTTAATTATATTCTCCTAGGTCATATCACTGGCATTTTAAAATGAGAGAAGCTTAGTAGGACTGTTAAATAAACACACAGAGACCTTCGGCTCAAACTTATCACCTCAACCCCCCCCTCCTCCTCCTCCTCCTCCTTTTCCCTCCCTCCCTCCCAGCCAATTAGGTTATATTTTGCTCAAGAGATAAAAATTGTTGTACATTAGTGTACAGTACTGTAGTACATTTTATAAAAAAGTTTTTCAACTGTATTTTTGGGTAGATTTACATAGATTTCTTCATTTATTTTCATCCATTTACATGCACACACCATACTAAAAGAAACGTAATAGAAATAAATGACCTTAGTGCAAAGCTGGAGTGCACATGTACTAATTTGATTACGGTACTAAAATTGTTTTGTCTAGTTCAAATTATAGCATGTTTATATTCAAATTAATCAGTATGTTACAAGAATCCCAGCAATGTTCATTATATTCACCCAGGTCATTTCACTGGCTTTTTATAAGAGAGAAGCTTGGTCACTTAAGAACTGATAAATATACACGCGTTAGACCTGGGCCTGTGCCAACTGTCAAACGTACTACCTCCCCTCCCCCCCCCATGCCCCCTCGCTCGCTCCCACCCTCTCTCTCCCCCATCTGCCCGACGTTGCTGGAATCCTTGTAAAACAGTGAATAATTTTAATATAAACGTCATGTATTTTGCACAAGAGATAAAAATTAATCACCTGTATCACATTACAGTAGTGATTTAAGAGTAAAAGTGTACAGTTGTACCCCGCTTTACGCGGTCAATTGAACCCACAGGGTACCGCGTTAAGTGAAAACCGCGTTAAGTGAACAATAGAACATATGGGATTAATTCCAATAGAGACTGGCCCGACCCCCAAACTCCACTTTTTGACGACAGACAACTATGTTGTAGTAAAATATTATCTTAACTTTATGATGGTATGCACACACAATAAATAATTAAGAGAAATATCAATAATATTAGGTTTTTTAACACTTACATTAGTAGAAAAGATGGCTGGGCACACGGGGATGGGGGGTTGGTTCCGAGGCAGAGGGCAGATTATTGGCCCTCACCTGTATCACTTGTATCAATTGTATCACTATCCACCACAGAGGCTTGCAGGGCCTCTTTGTCAAACCCCTCAAAGCCCATATAAGTCCATATCCTCACTATAATTATCACTATCACTGACTTGGGCCGGCTGTGGTGGGTGGCGGGTGAAGAACTCGGTAATGTTTTGATGACTGGGCGACCTTGTGCGCATCGTGCCTGCGCCGCTTCCCGCGTATATGAGTAGATGAACCGCGTTAAATGAAAGTTCGGTTCTGGCGAGGCACCGCGTATATGAGAAATCGCGTTAAATGAAACCGCGTAAAGCGGGATAATACTGTATATGTACGTATATAGTATTCTACATACATGTAAGTATAAATACAGAGTTTATGTGATGATCGGACAGCGTCCATTTCGGTTAACGTCACGTTTCCAAGAACGTATTTAGGACGTTAACCGGCGCATTTCTGTATTTGTATGAAAATTTAATTTTATTTTATTTTTATTATATTTTGGTCATAAATACGAATGAAATAAGGGTGTAAACTGAATTGGGTCCTAAATTAACTAGGGTTTCAAATACGAAAAGTTGTTGGTCGAACCGTTCTTATCGGAGGCTTTACTGTATTAACATAATGCTGCCACACTAGATGCATTACACCACTGTGTGTATACACACACACACACACACAGGAATTATGACAACAAGCATCCAGTGAGGGTCTTGTTGTGTGACTGCCTGGGGGTGAGATAAACATCAGCTGTTGAGGAGCACTTGGCAACACTGGTGCATGTTACCACTACTTACCACTCCATCTCTCTAATCACCCACACCTTTTTGCTTCTCACTCCACATTTTAAAATGTTATGTAATGTAATGTTGAAGGGATACAATTTTGCTCATTTATACTTATACTTATCACAATCTCCCTAAAAATACTTTAGATTTTGTGTTTATTCAAGACATCTTCAGGTCATGAGACCCACTAATCCCCCACAGCTCCATGAGAGTGGAAAATACCAGTCTTTGCTGTAACACACAGCTTCATTCATGCCTGTATCATACAGATTTATTTATTTTTTTAACAAAACTTTTTGATAAACTATTCTGGATTATTATAGTAAAGAAATGGAGTTTCTCACTTAATTAGAGCTGCATTTACGGACTCCGGTAGTTTAGACTCAAGGAAAACATCCCCAGCACCCAGAAATGTTCTAGGGAAGTGGGCTAGTGTCTGTCTGTGCAAGATGTCTAGACACTCTGAAACTTTTCCCAGCAATCGGAAAAGATTCCGGGGATAAGGAATTTTCCGGTTATGAGAAAGTCGTCTGGTTACCCGGAAATCTCTCCTCCACGGAAGTGGTCTCCACCAATTGTTCCGGCTAACGGGGATATCACTTGTATACCCAAAATTTTTAGTTTAAAAATAACCATTACATAATTCCTGCCTCAGACTAGTTGGGAGACTGCTATGGGGATGTGGCCGCCCCAGCCGACTCCCGGGAGCGTGGTAAGAGTTGAATTTTTTGCTGGGACGCAAATTCATATAAGCAGGGAAAGCTTTTGTAACGTGAAATAAAGGTGCCAATTTTGGAAATTTGTACTGTACGTAAAGGCAAATTTTTGTATCTCGGGGGATACCTGTATATTGTGTTTATTACGACTGCATTTATCGTTGTCATCATGATCATCATTTTGCGGCCATTTTCCACACTTGCGTGAATAGTCGGTGTAGGTTGTTGATGGGTGTGTTCATTTTAAACACCGGTAAACACAACACTAAGTGGCGGTGAAGGCGAAACTACTTACTTACTAGAAGACTGACACGTACAGTATTAACCCAGACATGACAGTAAACACAGTACTGCATCAATAATATGATAGTTTATATTTTTACTCTGAGACAACACAAAACTGAGGGTTGAGCGTAGTGCCCTGTTAAAGCACATGTTATGGTACAGTTGCAGAAAAGTGTTTGTACGCCCCCTGTGGTAACCAGTGTCACCAAATGGCCAAACTATATGACCTATAGCAAACTTATCCACCAAGCACATCCACCGTTACACAACCAATACCCAGTCACTCATATATAGTTATAATAGTACTGCGACGGTGCCGTTTGGAGACACTGGTTACACAGGGGTAAACATTTCCACAACTGTACCTGTAATGGGTTTTAAAGAGTGAAATATGTTCATAATTCAGCTGCTACAGCCTGTGCATGTACTGTATAATGAAGAGGCTTATGTTCAGTTTATTACTGTCCACATTTTAACATATTTACCAACTAATTTTTATTGATTATTTCCATTTTCTCATTTACATAAATTAGTAATAATGATATCTACACATAGAACAATTTTATAAGTGGTAAATTCAGTGTAACATTTTAGGTATGGTAATCCTAACACGGGACAATCCCAACAAGTTGCTATTCCACGTTCAGGTTTCCGAATATATTAGTACAGTAGTATCAGCATTGTGGGTCAGGATACAGCGGTGAGAAATACACCAGTTAATACTCTAAACTTTTTCATGTCTCTCTGCCTCACCATTTGTGTGTCTCTGCCTCACCATTTCCTCTGTTTTTTAGAAGTTTCCCTCCCTGTGATTCACCCAGTACAAAAGGAGGTGAAGAGATAGCTACAATAGATAGATCAGCTACAATGATAACTAATCCTCAAGTACTGACCTGTGCCTTACTTGTACAGATGAGTCACCAGTAACGTGTGAGGTGTTCCTGGCTGAGAAAGGACTGCACTTGTTTCTTCAGCTTCTAAATGTGTTTGCCCAAGATGCAGCTGTTGAGACAAAGGTTCTTGGGCTCCTGAACAACATTGCAGAAGTGTCTCCTCTTAGAAGTGCCCTCATCAATATACACTTTGTAAATCAACTAAAGTAAGTTGTCTTTTATCTTCTTTCACCAAAGGTTTTTGTATGGTATCTAGACTTGTTAACAAAATGTTAAACATAAGACAATAATCATTTTGTTAGTGAAGATTGTGATGACAATCTGTGAATGGGAGCTCTGACTGGACTGGAAAGACGTGTGACCCAGGTAACACCATGATTGATTGATTGATTGGTAATTACGTCCCTGCTGACGCAACAGCTTCGGTCATATGTTGCCGAATTAAAATAAAAGCTTGAAAAATTTAAATAAACTAATGCAAGGTGAAAAACATTACGAATTACATAGAACTTAGTGTACTGTATGTATAAAAATAAATAAAAATAAAAAACATTTAAATGTTAATAGATAAAACTCACAGCTTGTGTAGAAGATCTTCTTCCTCCACAAAGGAGAGGATTTCCCTATCATGGTACCCACTCACCTCCCCCCCCTCCCCTCCCAGAATACCACGAGTTATTTACAAACTTAGTACAGTATAGTCTCCATTTACGCGGTCAATTGAACCCGTGGAGGTCCTCGTAAAACGAGAACCGCATAAATGATATAACAACATATGGGATTAATTGAAATAGAGACTGGGCCGACCTCCAAACTCCACTTTTTCCGTTGTAGTAAAAATAGTATCTTAATTTTATGATGGTATGCACACACAATTAATATACAGTGAACCCTCACTTTACGCGGTCAATTGAACCCACGGAGGCCCGCGTAAAGCGAGAAATGCGTAAAGTGAACAACATAACATATGGGATTAAGTGAAATAGAGACCGGCTGACCCCCAAACTCCACTTTTTCCGACACAATACCTATGTTCTAGTAAAAATAACATCTTAATTTTATGATGGTACACGCACACAATTAATATTTAAGAGAAATAGAGAAATACAGTCGCCAAGTTAATGTCCATTCAAATAATGGACTCAACTCCCTCCCCCTCTTCTCACACTACACTCGCTGGCTCTTCCCTCTCTGAGAAATGTTTGGGGGAAAACCACTAGATTTTAAGGTATAGTAATAAATAATACCTCAAACTAAAGTTAGGATCATATAATTGACATTGCTGGATTCCTTGTAAGACCAGGAATATTTTGAATATAAATGTCATATATTTTGCACAAAAGATAACATATTTACTCAGAGTAAACAAAATACTTTCATTAGATCTAAAATTTGTATGTCTAATGCAAAATCTATGATGTTTATATTCAAAATGATCGTCAAATTGTAAGAATTCCAGCATTGTAAATTATATTCTGGCCAGGTAATTTGTATGAATTTTATGAGCTAAAACAAATATCTTCAGTTAATAAAAAAAAAAAAAATATTCTTCACGACACTATCTGTCAATCAAAGTACCCCACCTTTCTTCCCCCCCTCCTCACACTCACGCCAGCTGGGTCGGTTGGTCCCAACCCTCCCCCCCACCCCCCACCTTCCTTCCCTACCAGAGAAATGTTTGGGAGAAACCAGAATATTTACCTTTTAGTAATAAATAATACCTCAGACTAAAGATAGGATAATATTCACATTGCTGGATTCCTTGCAAGACCAGGAATATTTTGAATATACACGTCATATATTTTGCACAAAAGATAACATATTTGCTCTGAGTAAACAAAATACTTGCATTAGATCTAAAATTTGTATGTCTAATGCAAAATCTATGATGCTTATATTCAAAATGATCATCAAATTGTAAGAATTCCAGCAATGTAAATTATATTCTGGCCAGGTAATTTGAATGAATTTTATGAGCTAAATAAAAATTTTTTACTTCACCCGCGTATATGAGTAGATGCACTGCGTAAAGTGGGAATTCCGGTTCTGGCAGGGTACCGCGTAAATGTAGAAACGCGTAAAGTGAAACCGCGTAAAGCGAGGGTTCACTGTAGAAGATAAATATCAATAAGAGAATAATATACTGCACTAGGTAAAAGAAAAATTAAGGTTTAACACTTATGTTAGTAGAAGAGATGGGTCGGCATACAAGGATGGGGTCTGGTTCCGAGGCAGAGAGCAGATTAGTGGCCCTCAGGTGAATCACTATCACTATCCACCACAGATATCAGGGCCTCCCTGACAAACCCCTCAAAGCCACCATCACTGTCACTATCACTGACTTGGGCTGGCTGTGGTGGGTTGCGGGCGAAGAAGTCGGTGATGTTACGCTGACGGCTAGTGTTGATGTGTTCGTGATACATCTTGATGTACTGCTCCATACTTTGGTCTAGATGGTTATTGAAGACTTCATATCAGTGATTGACATGGTCTTTGGAAAGGATGAGCTTGAGTTTCTCTGCAAATTTGATGGCATCCTTTACATTACCATGTGTTAACTTCTGTTGTTCTCGGGCTGCTGCACCACCTGCCTCCTCACTGACATCATTGTCTTCCAACATCTCTTCGGCAGTCACCTCAGGATCCCTGATCACCTCCATGATGTCGTCGTTGATGGTCTCTGAGAAGCCTGCAGCTGTAACACTCTGTGCAGCTTCTCTTGCAAGGTCCACTGCCACTGTAACAGACTGAACCTCACCAGTCACAGGTTGCCTCTGCCTCCCACCTGGGATACCTTGCAACACATGCCGCCACGCGTGACGAATCGTTGCCACAGACAGCTACCCCATGCCTCCACCAAGAAATCAACAACTTTCTCGACGTTGAATTTCTTCCAAAACTGTCTGACGCAAACTTCATGCTCCGCCAACTCTTCTTCTTGATCCTCGTCCTCGCTCTCCCTATCGGTGTCACTCAGGTTCCGCAATTCATCCTTGGTGTTGGTCAAGTCATTAAAGGAGCCAAAATTTCATTGCGGAGAAAGCAGCCTTGACATTACATATCAACTCTTGATCCATGGGCTGGATTATTGACGTAGTGTTAGGGGGAAGGAAGACCACTTTTACGTTGTCCTGGTGCGTTGTCAAGGAGCAACAAAATGTTGAATGGAACATTATGTTGTTCGCAGAATTTCTTCACGTCGGGAACGAAACAGTCGTCAAACCAGGAGAGGGACAAACCAGTGAACATCCACGCCTTACGTGTGGTCAGCCAGTGGACATTTAGCTTGGTCATGTCCATGTTTTTGTAGGCGTGCGGCTTGCGGGCTGTGTGAATCACCGATAACTTGAGCTTACAGGTACCGGAGGCATTGGTGGTAAACAGGACGGTGATGCGCTCCTTCTGCAATTTCCGGCCCCGACACTTGCTGGCAGACTTGACAACGAAGGTCTTGGAAGGTAACTTTTTCCAAAACAGACCGGATTCATCCATGTTGAACACCTGGTCATCGGTGTACTGTCCTTCCTCCATAGCTTCTCGCGTAAGAATGGAGGAAAATCACTTGCCACAACATGGTCAGCACTAGCACCTTCACCAACAATGTTAATGTTTGTAATCTTGTTACGTCTTTTAAACCCTTGCAACCACCCAGAGGAAGCAGTGAAGGGTTTGGGCTCTGCATTTCCCATCTTGCGCGTCACTGCTACGTACAGTTCACCTGCGTACTCCTGCACTGCCCGCATGTCCACCGCCATGTTACGTCTTGCCTGACGAATCAAGTAGCTCACCAGCAAATTCTCAGTCTTGAGCAGCACCTTATTCTGACAATACTTCACCACTGAAGCACCTGCAGACTTTGTGATGCTCATGTGTTCTTTTATCTTGGTGGCATCCTTCTTGATCGTCCGGATTGTAGATTCGTTCACGTCATGCTGGCGCGCCAAATCATTTTGTCTCATTCCTTTCTCCAAATCCTGCACGATTTTGTATTTAACTTCATAGCTTAAAGCTTGTCGTATCATCTTAGGCTTGGGGTGGCTTCGGCCAGGTAGTTCAAGGTTTTTCTGGGGTGGTGGGGGTCCAGCGGAAGCCATTGTTGAACAGATTAGCGGGCACAAGAGAGAATAATATACGCGGTGACTGAGAACAATGCGACTGGCCAGGCTAGGTCAGTAGCTTCTCCCTACCCGTGGCTGGCCACGTCATATTACATTAAACCAATCACAGCTAGCGGGGGAGGGAGGTAAGGATGCGTGGCCCAATCACAGTCCGATACGTCATATGGCGTCAGCGATAACGCAACAGCGACATACTGCGCACCCATACCCGCGCTGCTTCCTGCGTATGGTCAAGCATGGACCGCGTGAATACAAAATGGCGCGGCGCATCTGGACCTCTCCAGCCGCTCTCCGTGTAAATGATGAAATTTTCCACGTAATTGAAACATTTCATTCTGGCAAGGCACTGCATAAACAAAATCCGCGTATATCAAGACTATACTGTATCAGCTGGCCATCCTGGTGGTAAGTGCTTTCTGCCTCATTATCTTGATCATCATCATCATTGTCGTCATCCTGCCTTGTGCATTTTAGATTTTATTTTAATTTTATTTTTTTTTTTTTCAGTTAACATAAAGGCCACCCTTTAGAGGTGGCCATACAGAAGGGAAGGAGGCCGCTGGCCTGTTCTTGATAGTCTTGTCTAGAGCTGTTTTGAAACCAGTATTGTTTTTGATTCCAATACTTGGGCTGGTGGACTGTCCCATAGGTCTACCAGCCTCTTGTGTGAAGACGTGTCTCCTTATGTTCGTTCTGTATAATAACTTGGCTAGCTTGTAGTTATGTCCTTTTGGGTTGGTGGTTGGTGACTCGTAGAAAAAAAAATATCTGGGTTCACGTTTTCCATCCCTTTGAAGATTTGGAATATCTCTAAAGAGATCTGCCCTATTGTGCCTTGTCTGAAGAGTTGTTAGTCCTAAAGCCCTCAGTCTACTTGGATAATGGAGTTGACACTATTCCAGAATCATCTTAGTCTCTCTGTGTTGTACCTTTTTCTAGAGAAGTTAGGCATCTGGAGGTAGGGTTTCCATGCTTGTAAACAGTAGTCCAGACTGGGATGTATGTGAAATTTATAAATTATAAGGAGCATTTTTCTATCTTTGTATGCCAAGGTTTGCTATATAATTCCTAATTTTTTTTTTCACTAC